TGTTAGTGCGTATAGAATGTAACTATGGTCTATCTAGATTCATAGAGTATGTGACGGAAAGACTCGATCGCCGTATATACTATAAAGATAGAGCTCATCTGCCGCAAAGGTAATTCCCGCGTCGTGGGCTCCGTTTATAGGTTCTTAGATCCATGGCTTCCACATGCGACCGAAGTCAATTCAATTTCATTTATATCAAAAACGTTGCGAAATGAAGATGCAGTCGTTACACTTACATATATTACCAGATATATCTATAATGGTACATATTCTTTCTCAGGATTTATTAATTTCCAATACGCCATACCACAATCAACTGGTTATTGGCAGCATCGTTTACTGAGGTATTTTTAATTTTGCGCCGCCTCCGAAAAAGTTGAAATGTATTTAATATACTACCTAACGAGTAAATAGGTTTCATTCATATCTGTTACGTAATTGTGCATGATTGAATGAAATAGAAATTACTTCATTAGGAAATAGAAATTATTTTATACTTTTTAGTGCATTTCGAAGTCGGCGTAGTTTTTTTTTTTACATTATTTTATTTTACGCTTTTTAGTGGAATGGGAAGAATTGTATAGGATACTGTGAGACAGTTCTTCCGGGCTTTTTTTTTGTCTGCGTAAATGCCATGAACATAATTAAGCACAAGATGCGAAAGGCTTTGTTCCGACCGGACCACCCACCTAGGAAAAAACCGGCGAACATACATAGAAAAAAAAAAAGAAATACTGATCGAATTGAGTAACCTCCTCCTTTTTCGAAGTCGGTTAAATATCTAACATACCTGACATGGAAGGCAAGATGGCGACGATGGAGTAGGACGCGTGTAGAGTGTGCTCTGTGTTTTTTTCTTGAGTTCTTTGATTTCCCATTGGTTAATTTTGGACAATTTGGTTCTAGATAATAGATAAGCTTAGATAGTAGTTGTTTGTAGTTTTAGCAGGTAAAAATAAATAGAATAGGAGGAGGATGTGTATGAAAATAAAAAGGCCCCCTGGTTGGCCAAGAACCAGGGCCCTAAATACGGAAAGGAGAGAGGTGGAGAGGAGAGAAAAAGGGAAGGTGAAAGAAAGAAAAGAAGAGCAGAAATGGGCAAAGGAAATGAGTGGTGAAGAGAGTGAAAGGGAGAATGAGGAGGTAGAGAGGGTAGGAAAGAGTGTTGAAGGAAACCTCGATAATGAAAAAGAGGGTACGAATCTGCTGAAAAGCCTAAAGAAAGATTGGGCGTTAGAATATTTGGCGGAAGAAGAGGAAGCAGTCCTGGGCGCCTCAAAGAGAGAGTGCATGGGAGATAAGAAGCCAGAAGAGGAGAAGACGGACAATAGAGTGGAAAAGATGGAGGTAGAAGAGAGCGAGAAGAAGACCAGGGAAGTAGAGGAGGAGAGCGAGGAGATGGTAGAGGGAAACAGGAATGAGAAGAGAAGGATTAGGGAAGCGGGAGGAAGTGACGTAGAAAACGTTGGAAGTGAAGTGACTAATAAGGTACATTTAACCCCTTGCACTACTTTGACGAGTCTGACTCGTGATGAAAATTTTGTGCCAAACATGAATATCACGAGTCTGACTCGTGATCTTAATCTCGGGTCTTAATCCCATTCAAACCAAGCCATACCATACCATTACATGCCATGATCATACCATACAGAAAGTTTCGGTCGTACTTCAGTTTGTACGATTCCGTTCTACGAGGAGTATACGTGTCAAACAGCCTTCTTCGCAAAAAATCCTATTCTGCATTATTTGTAATTTTGCCAACCCCATCATAATGTATAACAAAAGAAGCAAAAGTGGTAAAAAAGCACGTGGTTCGCGTCGAAGTGAGAGCAGTAAAAAAGTAGAAGAACGAGTCATCATAAGTGATGAAAATTCTGATGATAGCAGCGTGATTGCGCCAGTGGTGAATCCTGCATGAAGATTCATTATATCTGATACTGATGAAGAGGAGATTCCTAGACCCGGCTCAAGTGTTGACTGGAATTGGAAAGAAAGTGTCAACACTATACAAATTTGGAAATATTCCGAATTGCATGGTGCAACAGATTATGTTTTAGACCAATTAAATACACGTAACGGATTATTAGATTTATTTTTTATACTTTTCGACGACAATTTCTGGGACATTGTAGTTACGCAGACGAATCTTTATACCGAACAAATAATGGGCACTGGCAGAAGGAGAAAAGTGGATGACAATTGGTTTCCAGTCACCAAGAATGAGATGTTGGCGTACTATGCTTTGTGTATTTTGATGACACAAGTCAAAAAACCGAATATCCAAATGTATTGGACTAAGCGGGAAGTGATAGAAACTCCTATATTTGGCAAAATAATGCCGTTGAAAAGATTCACACAAATCTCACGATTCTTGCATTTCGCAAATAATGAAGCGGGCCAGAGCAACAACCGCCTTCATAAGATCAAACCAATTATTAATTATTGGAACGAGAAATTTAGTAGAATTTATACACTAGATGAACATGTAAGTATCGATGAATCATTGATGCGAATCATGTGGGTCGCATAGCATACAAACAATTTAATCCATCCAAACGAGCCAGGTTTGGCATAAAAATATATAAGCTGTGAAGCAAACACTGGATTCTGTAGCAAATTTAAAATATATATTGGCCAAGATAAAATTGATCCAAACGACAGTGCATCGGAAAATGTTGTGATGGAACTGGCAAAACCGCTCCTAAATAAAGGATACACGTTATATATTGACAATTGGTATTCCTCACCCGCTCTCTTATCGGTACCGTGCGTAATAACAGAAAAATTATGCCGAAAGATCTTGCGACAAAGAAATTAAAACCAGGAGAATGTATATACAGAACGTGTAATGGGTTATTAGCAATGCGATGGAAAGATAAACGTGATGTTTATATATTGACAACCAAACACGCATTGGTAGAATTTACCAAAGTGACGGATAGGCATTATAGAACCAAATGGAAACCAAATTGCGTGATTGAATGTAACAATGGAATGGGTGGCATTGATCTCAATGACCAAATGTTGGCATGTTTTCCCATTATGAGGAAATACCTAAAGGGTTATAAAAAACTCTTTTTTTACATGTCTGACATGGCGTTTTTTAATGCATTCATTCTAAAAAAACAATTACACGATTCAGGAAGGCAATCGTATGTGAACTACAGAATTGATGTAGTCGAGGCACTTTTAAAATATGTTGAGCGGCCTGACTATACAAGGCGCACGACATCTGCAGGTTATGATACACCAATACGCTTACAGGCACAATATTGGGCTCATTTTCCAAAACATATTCCTCCAACTCCTGCAAAGCAACATCCGACTAAGACATGTAAAGTGTGTTACAAACACAAACGACGCAGTGAAACGACGTGGGAGCGCTCAAAATGTAAGGTGGCCTTGCATGTACCGGACTGTTTTATAACATATCATACCAAGCAAGATTACTAATTTCAGACTCGTAAGTATTTTTTAAGTTAATTGTTTGTTGATATTTAATTGTTTATTTATATTTTGTTTTTCATTTTTAGATCTGATGTGAATGGCACTGATTTCATTTAAACTATTACTACCGCGTTTATTATTACCTACTATTATTATATTATATTAAAATTTATTTTTTATGATGTGCAATAATTAAAGTATTTTTACAAGTTTTTTATTCAAATTCATTTGAATTTTCAAAGATTTTCATCGCGTGACGTAAATACGAGCGTAGGACTATGTAACTCAGTCGTAAGGTATTGTGTTTCAAATTGTACCACTTGACCTTCGCCGCTCGGCACCTCCCGTGACTATTTCGACGGCCGTGTTTAGCACGGCTTTTTCGGAGGTTCGCGGTAGTGCAAGGGGTTAAGTGGGGAAGAAAGAGTGATTAAGTCGGCAGGGTTGGCAACCGTGACGACGCTAGCGACACTCGCAACGATGCGGGAGCGTGGGGAATTAGGGAAAGACGCAAAAAATGCGGAGAAAAGCGGCTGTTTTAGCGTTGAGCGTGCAGAAGTGAGGAGCGTAGTAGAAATAAGCAAAGAGTGCGAAGACATTGAGACAAGTGAGAGAGTTAAGGACGATTATATCGAAACAACGGACCTGAATAGTAATAAGGTATTAAATAATTTAAGTGGGAATCTAGTAAATAAGGGGAAAACACTTGTAGTGGGTAGTAATAATTGTAAGAGTGTAATTAGTAAGCAACATGTGGTTGAGGATAATAGCAATAATATAAATAGACATAAGGATAAGGATAAGGACGGGGAAGAAAATGCGGTGGACGGAGGAAGGAAAAGGGAAGGGATAATTGAACTATACGAGGAGGATGCCACGTGGGAGGAGTACGTAGTTTGCTGCGCACTTAAAGTGGGCTATAATCTTATCAAAATATATAGACTTGTGCAGGGAGCAGGGGTGAATATAAAATCAATTAGGATGATTGGTTTTAGCAGGGCGGAGGTGACAACAAGGAGCAGGAGGGAGGCGAACGACTTGTTGAAGAGGTACAGCAATAAGCAGGAGAAACTTACCGCATTCTTGCCGAGAAGAATGAAGTATAGGAGGGGCGTAACCTTCGAATGGGAAGATTCAGTGGAGGAGCTGAAGGAGGAGGCGACCCCTAGCCAGGGAAATTTTTCATCCTTAAAAGGATGAAGAAAAGAAGGATTATAGACGGTAAAGTGGTGTTCGAGCCTTTGAGGGCGATCATGATAGTGTTTAGAGGGAGTGTATTGCCCACGAGGCTGTTGATCGGACAGGGACATGTAGAGATTAAAATCGAACCCTTTGTAGAACCAGTAAGACAGTGTTACAAATGCTTGAGATTTGGACATGTACAAGCGACGCGCAGGGAACAGGTGCGTAAATGTGCGGTGTGTGGTGACAAGGAACACGGTCAGTGCAACAAGGATCCCAAGTGTGTTAATTGTGGCGGAAACCATGGCTCTTTGGCGAGATCATGCTAGGTATGGCAAAGGGAGGCTGCGATAAGGAAAGTGATGGCGTTCCGCAACGTAGAATTTGATACTGCAAGAGGCATCGTTGCAAGATCGTTGGGGGATAGAGAAACTGACAGAGTGGGAGGCCTGGATGAGAGTGGAGGGATGGGAAGTAGGGAGTACCCTGCCCTGACACATAAGGAGAGAAGGGAGACGTGGGAGGAAAAGGAAGTCCCAATAGAAAGGGAGAGAGAAAGGATAAGGTTAGGAAGGGAGGAGGTTGACAGAAATAGGGGAGTAAATAGGGGGAGGGAAAGATTTAGCGATGTGGTGAAAAGGGGAGGAAACGGGGCAGAAAGAACAACTATCTCAGCAGGAATGGAAAAAGTAAACGAGGAAGAGGAGGAAGAGGAAGGAGCGGCGGGATGGAAACAGGTCACGAGGGGGACCAAGGGAGGCAGACCCTCATGCTACAACAGCAGAACCGATCTCGTTTTAACAAATAACCGTTATATTTGTCTAGAGTGCAAAGAAAAGACGGAAAAGAATGCGAAAGTTCTTGAGAAGATTTCGTTTCCCCACGAAGTTGTGGGAAAAGAATCAAACGAGGGAACTTTGGGGGAGGAGGAGCACGTGCGATCGGATAGGGAAGATACAAGGGATGAAGGGGGAAGAAGAGAAGGCCAAGGAAAGAAGAATAAATCAGGATCCGATGAAGCACGACAGAGGGAGGAGGAAGAAATAATGAACGAGTTCATAAAGTTTCTCCACGAATAGAATATGGAAGGAAGATTCGAAGAGATACTGAGAGCGAGTAGAGGTAAGAGTCAAAGGGTAAAATCTCCAGAAGAGGAGGAGGACTGGAATGCGGTGGTAACTCCGCCGTATGAGGTATATGTGGATCCAAAGACAAGGGAGAGAGTAAGGAGGAGGGCGGAAAAAAGGAACAGGGAGGCGGAACAGAGAAAAATGAGGGAAGGCAAATCCTGCGAATGTATATTGTGGACGGAAAAGCAAAGAGCAGATAGGGGAGAGACGGAGAGAGTATGGAACCTCAAAAAAGCTGAGGGGACAACCCTAGAAAGTCAGGGAGAAAGAAGAGAGGAAACAGCGGAGGGAAGCGGAATGAACCAGGAGGAAACCGGAAGGAAGACTGCAGGAGGATGGGAAGGAAGGAGATCTGAAGTGCAGCGAAGAGGAGGTGAGGAAGAAAGACAAGCAGAGGAGAAATGGTGAAAGAAGAAGAAGTAGAAGGGAAGAAGAGGAAGATAAGGGGTGATGGAAAGGGAGCGATGGGGAGAGTCTCGAAAAAAGGAAGTCTAAGGTTGAGAGTGCTATTAAATGATAAGTGCAAAGAAAGACTGATAGAATGTGAGGTGAAAATCTGTAAGATGGGAAGCGTGGACCAGAGTGAAGGTGCAAAAATTGAAAGGAAAAAATTATGCTTAGGTACTTGGTTTAATTTAGAGGTATTATATGCTTATTTTTCGGTAAGAAACCTAATAGAATCTAAAAAGGACAAGACTGGACTTAAATTAAATATTTTAAATATTTAAAATAATTTAAAATATTTTGGTATTGCATACGGTTTTCTGTCCACTGGTCACATACCGTTCGTCAATACCTGGCCAGATAGCACGAAAGTACAAAGCTGTCGGTACGAAAAATGAACTTGTAGCGGCTAGCTATAAATTTGTAAATTTTGTAAATAGCTTGTTAACGTGCAAACGGCTAGCACGGTTTATGACAGGGACGACAGCGGAACTGTTTTTGAGGAAACCGTTTTAGAATTTTTAATGAAAGCATGACCGTACTTCGAATTTTGCCAACGGTCTCAACAGTAAAACGCTTAAGTGTCATAAACCCTGGGTTTCCCCGTGGGTCTGCAACGAGGGGTCAAGCGACCATCAGCTGGCCGCGTAGCTGACCTAGGGCCCGGGGAAATTCCGCTGCGTTGCCACCTTTACCAGCAAACGCACCCCCGTCAAATCGTACCCCCGCTTCAAGGAAGCGTGCTTCGGGCATAAGAGGGAGGTCGTACGATTTGGCGGGATTTAGGTTTTCTCTAATTGGTTAACCCCACCTATTCGGGGGTTGGCCTAGCGTAAAGCATAGGTTTTAAAAACGCGAGACTCTAGCGCAAGGAGTTAGTAAAAGGTCCGCAAAGAAAATAGTAGAAAGTTCAAAGAGTAATCTTGCAAGCGTCGGAGAAGCAAGATAAGTCTTAAATAAAGCCAGCAGGAAAACGCAACTCTTGTGATTCATTTAAAACACGCAACCCACTCCTAAAAACTGTTTTACGGCTCCGAACGTTGTTTTGTAAAACGGCTGCTGCTACGTGCTATACCAAAATGTTTAATGTCTGGTAAAAAGGGTCATCTAAGATAATTAGCTTTTCGTTAGTTCGGTGAATTCGAGTCTCGCAGCTATCGGCTGTCGTATAATTGATTGTTTCGAAAAACCCGTGGGGACGTTCAGAAATGGCAATCAGATTCGGGGAAGTCCTTCAAACAATATGCACACTTTTGTTAAAATATCCAGCCATGGAGTGGGTAAAGGCAGAGTGGTTTTTGGAAAGAAAAGTATGTTTCACCCGTGAGCATTTTCATGAGAGCTGCCGGACAGTAACCATCGAAATGTCTCTGTAAAGGACTAATGCAGAATTTTATATTTTTTATATTTGCGTCGAGTGCAAAAGGAACGCGAGGTAGTCGAAAAGTTCTATGAAGATGGAACGTCAAACATAGGAGACGTTGCTCGCCGTTTAGGGAAAGTAATGTTAATAGTATTTAAACGTTAATATTAAAGTATTCTTCTTCATTTATTAATACATTTCAGTATTTTATTTCAGTATGCATCGCTTCGCGGTACATCGAATTCTTCAAGAAAACGAGATGCACCCGTATACGTTTATACGGCCGCATAATCTAAATTCTGAGGACTTTTCACAGCACCTGCAGTTTTCAACATGGATCTTGGGGAATTATTATTAATCACAGAAGCAGTCAAGGATAATATTAAAATAATCGGCCCCTTTCGGACACCCTCGGAGGCATCGGGAGGGACAATACCTTTTACCAGGGATTCTCCAGAAAGTGAAAGTGAAAACAAAAGTGTTTTGAAATAAAGACAGTGCAGTGACCTGTGAGTGCCACCAGCTGTGTTATAAGGTGCCAATGTCTGCGATAGGTCAACATCGGCAGGACGACCCCGTGGCAATTACCCCATCACTTTCACTCTCGGATTATTAACAAACAGGATTATTTTCA